CGCCATGGGCGCCATCTGGGGCGCCGTCTCATTTTCATCTGGCTGCGAGGGGCGCGCCCTGGATGCGCTCTCCACCGGTGGCGCCCAGCCAGCCCCCTACGGGGCCTGCCGCGAGTTGGGCCGCGAAGGGTTGCAGGTTCCTTCGGCGCGGGCGCGCCGCTGCCCTGGGCGCCGATGCTGCGGCAGATGCTGCTGGCCCCCTGGAGCACGGTCTGCGGGCAAATTTCCCCGCAGCTCTCTGTGATGTATTACTTCCATGGTCGGCCTCTGCCGTGCCGGCTCTCTTCCTTCGTCTAGGTGGCGCTGGAGCTGGTGACTTTGGCGTACCTGGTGATGGAGATAAATCGATTTCCGTATCAGATCGCTCTTTCTGCTCGGATTGCTCCGGGGGCTCGTCTGCGTCGTCAGCAAGTATCCCCGCATTCGCGGATGCAGCAGGTTCCCCGGCGTCTCTGGATGAGGATCTATCTGGAGTAGGGTCCCTTTTTGGCAAAGTGACACGTTCTTGATGTTAGCCTTGCCTTTACAATCCACGTTGTATCTTCCATCGTGCAACTTACCCAATACCTTGGTGCCTATCCATCCGATTTCTCTGGACTGATACGACGCCATCGTAACCGGTGCCATGTTCATGCCCTCCGTCACTGGATGAGTGACGTCCAAATCCGCAGAAGTGGACTCGCTGCTGTCAGTCTCGCAAGTGCACTCTCAATCATCAGCAGCGGCAGTAGGGCCAACTGCCATAGCAAGGACAAGATGGCCACCCTTATTGTCGCCCATCGGATTATCAGCACCGTCGCGAAAGGAAGAAGCGGGTTGTCCCGCAGATGACGCCGCGGGCATCACTTCATGATATCATCGAGGCTCTTCCACTGTTGCTCAACGCGTTTTACCTCATGTTTGGTGAGCGGCTGGTACTCATCTTTGGTCAAGCGTGATTCAGGAAGATTGCAGGTCGGATCTGCCCTGCGACCCAAGCCGTCTCCATGATACCAGACCCACGGAGTCTTCTCAAAGTAAGGGCTCCTTGATGGATGCCCCATCGGACAGTCCGGTCCATGGTCCGCAAAGTAATCGCAGCTGCAGACCTGGCCTCGGTATTCTTCTCGATCCTTAATGATGGTCCTTTTATGTGTCCCTTCTTTCGAGCGCGGGGGCCGACTCAGCGCCGCAACCTCTGCTGGCGCGGGCGATTTTGCCGCGATCATGCCGCGCAACATTGTGGAGTGCATGCCGGTGGCGGATGTCGCGCTCGGCGAAGCCTCGGTCGAGCCGATGGCGCGCGCCTGCAATTGGCACATTTGGCGGGCAAGCCCATGATCCTCGTAGCTGACGAGTCGATGCAAGCGCTGGCCTTCGGGCTCACCTGGGAAATCGTCGTCGCGGGGAGGGTTTCCCCGCGAGCGCCCCCTTCTGGGCGGAGTACCTGGGGCCCTCCGATCGGGCGGTCGCGGGCGCTGTGCGCCGCCAGAACGGTCGCGCGAGTGACTGCGCGAGTGATTCAACCCATGATGTTGTGAATGATGACTCTCGGATTCCCATTCTTTAGCGTCGTCATCAGTGCGATGCACTCGCCTCCAAACTGGGCGGCTTGCGAGTCGGTCGCGCGCTGCGAACGTGAAGTGAGAACCTTCGTTATGTCCTGGTTCATATTGGACGCGCTCGGAAAGGCCACCAGCATCGCGGGTTACCCCGCAAAAGATCGTCGTCGTAAAGTCATCCGTATGTAGGATTACCAGTGGCCTGTGGTCGGAGCATCAGTTGGAGCCCCTCCTCCGCGGCCGGTATCGTCGCACCAGAGTCCGCAGGTGCCCCCGCCGCCACCGTCCGAATCGGCGGGCATGCGGCAATCCTCGATGAACTCAATCTGTGCAGGTTGCCCCGCGATAGGTGTGCCCAACCAGTCCGCCAGGTTGATCTCGTCGTGACCAACGTAGATCTCCTCCAAGAGCTCATCGGCATATCTCTCGAGGGACACGCTGACGCCCATATGCCTCGCGGCCGCGAAGTGGGCAGCGGCGGTGGGGTTGTCTTCGGGTTCGACGAGAAGCGTCTCGCAATCGACATGCTGAATGTCAGAATCGGTTCGAGCCAAATGTATCGACGGACCCCTGCCTCTCCCATCGCCTTGGGTGCACTCGACGAAAATGTTGTGTAATGTGGCTGATATCACGTTCCATGGTTTCCCCATTGGCGTCCTTCGGGTTACCCTGGCGTCGGGTTACCCTGGCGTCCCTTGCCCTTTCCTGAGGTGCGCCTACGGGCTCTACCTGTCCCCAAGAACATGTCTTCGTATTGTGGTCCCGCAAGGGATGCCAGGAATGCCAACATGCCACTGCCATGAAATCGCCGTCGCTTGCCTTTACCCTTACCTCTACCCTTGCCCTTTGACCTATACGCCCGTCGGACCGCACGTCGTACCTTGCGAACTGGTTCCTTCATCAGGTGTCTCCATCGGCGTTCGTGTTTCTGGTATCCTGAGAAGAACCGCTGCGCCTGCTGTTTTTCGGTGAGATACACAAGCATGTCGGCGTAGTCCAGGGCACCAGTCCCCTCATCTGTGAGGTGTCGGCGTCAGTGCCGGAGTCAAACTCAGACTCCGCGGGTAGCCTCGCAGAGCCTGCAAAGGTAGTGGCTTGGGCAGGGGCCGCCGTTGCCGACGGTCCCTGATAGCGAGCCCAGGAGTCTTGCGACCCCGTAGGTTAGTCACCTTGTTGGCTTAATAAGGTGGTGGCCTCAGTTGGTCGTGGATCGTCGTTCCATACGTTGTCAGTAGGCTTCCCTGCATTAGTGTCGGTGTGAAAGGTTTCGGTACGATGACCGTGGCTAAATATACTGCCGATGTTGCCAGGGGTTCGCTCAGCAATGTGAGCATGAGACCTCGTGCGCTCTAGTAGAGAATCAAACTGTGGCTGGGTCTTTGGCATTTGGTGGTTCAGTGGTTGTAGTAGTTGCTGTGCTCGCAATGACCAACACCCAGAGCTCGAAACAAACTAACTGTTCTGATCTGGTAGTTGGGAATGTTGAAGCCTGCGATCTCGGCCTCAAAGCGTGCTATCTCAAAGCGTGCTCACGTCTGGTCGATCCGCTCTCCCGCGTGGACGCGGAAGTCGATGAGAGCCGTTCCCGAACAAAGTCGGCGTTCCTCCTCTAGATGCTTAAACTTTGTGCTGAGGAGGAACATGATGTAGGTGACGCCGTCAGTGTGGCGACAACCAATATTTACGCCAAAGTTACTGATTGCGGAAGGTACTCTCATGGCTATGGTCCTTGCGAGCTCTCCCAGGCCACGCTGTAATGCCGCGGCCTGTTGAAAAGGGGGTCACGTTGCCTGTAGTCACGCCCATCCAGGCGTGTACTTTGCGAGTGGAATCGCGATAAAGTGCGTTGCTGGCAGGGTCCCAGTGGGGGCCGGCAGTACGCGTGTCGTCTCCGCCACGCTGCATGTGCCCAACATCACATCCGATAGCGACCCATAGGAAGCCAGATATGGTAATGCCAATCCAATGGCCCCTTAGGTCGTGGTCGGATTTTGGCGCTGTGGGTTATGATGTGATGTCGTCAGCCTGCGTGGGGGTGGAGGCGGCACAATATCATTTCGCATGTTGCCATGCGTCGCGTCTTCAAAAGCTTTCAAATTGGAGTAGGAGGGTGGACTTCAGGGGTGTGATAACGCAGAGAGGCAAGACTCATGTAAGAAGCCTCCGCGTGAACGGACGCAGCACTGCAAGTGTCCTTGCGGTTGTGCGTAGATATGTGCATTCCTCCGCGCAGACCCACTGCACCCTGATGTTCCACAATGCCAGTAGTCCACCAGACAGTGCCGTGGATGGTGAGGAGTAGAGCTAGAGCTGGCCACCATAGGCCAGCTCCGCTACCAAGTTTGAAGCGGGCTGGGAGGCCCAACCATATGCTTCGCCTACAGCGGAGCCCATATCCAACTCTGTTATACCGTAGTAACGATAGTTCCAGAAGTACGAGATCGTCGCGGGAGCGACGGGCCATGTCAAGCGAAAATGTATTCGGTCTCAATGGCAAATAGTGTGCCTCGCGATGGGGCGCAGTCATATATTGGCGGCCGGCCGCTTGAGCACAAACGGGCGCGGACAAACGCTCGTTGTCTCTCGCCTTTGCCCCGACCTCTTTTAGAGTCTCTCAAGTACGGTGTGTGGGACCAGATCGAAATCGTCACTGCGGTCATTATCACTCTCGTATTCCTCGAAAGCTTTCGTTCGGGAAACAAGCACCCCAGCAAACAGGACAAGTTGCAGTCGCAACGTTCCGACACAGGAGCTCTTCCAGAAAAGCAGGAGGCCTCCAAGATGGCCCCATGATGACCCGAGAAGCCCACAAAACGGCCCCAAGAGGGCCTCAACAGCGACGGAGAGACTATACAGGACCTCGACGTCCACGAAAGATCTCTCCAAGACGGACAAGATGGCCTCCAAAACGGTCCCAAGACGCCTCCAAGACGGCCAACGTGGCCGAAGATGGCCTCCAAGATGCGTCCAAGATGATCAAGATGGCCCCAAGAAGCCTCTACATAGCCCCAAAATGGCTTCCAAAACAATCCCAAGATGCTTCCAAGACCGCAAACATGGCCCAATAAAACCCTAGAGTAGCCCAAGTGGCTCCCAAAAGGCCTCCTGCTCCATTCTCCTTCTTCCCCCTCTCCTCTCCTTCCTCCTCCCCCACCGTGTTCCCCGAACGCTTTCCAAACCGATTCGGGGAACACATGGTCCGATAGCTTGGCAGGCCTCTGGCCACAACGTTCGGCCACATAGGCGTTTCCAAAAGGGCAGGGGGCGGCGGAGATTCGCCGAAGACGTCTTCGATAACGCCAGCGTCTCAATATGCGCTGATGATTCCTATCCGCCCCCGCATGATGTTCCCAGATGCGCCAAGCCAAGGCAGCGCCGAGACGCACCGACGAGACTCTGATATATGCCATTATGAAAGAGAGGGGGCCAGCGGCAGGGGGCGAAGCCTTTACGGATAACAACATCTGCTACATCATCTTGTGTGCCAGAGCTTGTGAATGCCATCGAACTGGTTACAATGTAAAGCGGCGTAGTGGTAGACGTTTGGGTAGTACTCGAAGTGCTGGTTGCACTGCTCTCGCTCGTGGTGCTCATCGATATGCTGCTGCTGCTGGTCCTGGTCGTGCTGGTGACGCTCGTGCTGCTGCTCTCACTTATGCTGCTCACCGAGAAGGTGGTCGCAGTGGTGCTGCTGGTCCTGGTCGTACTGCTGGGCGTGCTGCTGCTGGTCCCAGTCGTGCTGGTTACGCTCGTAGTGCTGCTAACGGACGTGCTGGTCACAGTGGTGCTGCTGGTCCCGCTCGCGCTGCTGCGCGTGCTGCTGGTCTGGGTCGTGCTCGTCACGCTCGTGCTGCTGCTCTCACTTGTGCTGCTCACCGACGTGCTGGTCAGCGTCGTGGTGCTGGTCTCGCTGATGCTGCTGCTGCGCGTGACGCTACTGGTCCCACTCGGGCTGGTCAAAGTGGTGCTGCTGCTTTCACTGGTGCTGCTGCCTGTCGTGCTGGAGCTGGTGAGAGTGGTGGTGCTGGTCCCGCTCCTGCTGGTCACACTGGTGCTGCTGCTTTCGCTAGTGCTGCTGCCTGTCGTGCTAGAGCTGGTGAGAGTGGTGCTGCTGGTCCCGCTGCTACTTGTGTGCGTGGTGCTGCTCGTGCCGGTCGAGCTGGTTTGGCTAGTGGTGCTGGTTGCACTTGTGCTGCTCACCGACGTGCTAGTCACCCTGGTGCTGCTGCTCTCGCTGGTGCTGGTGCGAGTGGTGCTGCTCCCAGTCGTGCTGGTCTCGCTAGTGCTGGTCACAGAAGTGCTGCTGCTCTCGCTGGTGCTGGTGCGAGTGACGCTGCTCACCGACGTGCTGGTCAGCGTCGTGGAGCTGGTCTCGCTGATGCTGCTGCGCGTGACGCTGCTGGTCCCGCTCGGGCTGGTCAAAGTGGTGCTGCTGCTTTCACTGGTGCTGCTGCCTGTCGTGCTGGAGCTGGTGAGAGTGGTTGTGCTGCTTTGGCTGGTACTTGTGCGTGTGGTGCTGCTGCTCCCAGTCGTGCTGGTCAGACTCGTGGTGCTGGTCTGGCTTATGCTGCTGCGCGTGGTGCTGCTGGTCCCGGTCGTGCTGGTATGGCTAGTGGTGCTGGTTGCGCTTGTGCTGCTCACAGAAACGCTGCTGCTCTCGCTGGTACTGGTGCGAGTGGTGCTGGTCCTGGTCGTGCTGGTCAGCGTCGTGGTGCTGGTCTCGCTGATGCTGCTGCGCGTGACGCTACTTGTCCCGCTCGGGCTGGTCAAAGTGGTGCTGCTGCTTTCACTGGTGCTGCTGCCTGTCGTGCTGGAGCTGGTGAGAGTGGTTGTGCTGCTTTGGCTGGTACTTGTGCGTGTGGTGCTGCTGCTCCCAGTCGTGCTGGTCAGACTCGTGGTGCTGGTCTGGCTTATGCTGCTGCGCGTGGTGCTGCTGGTCCCGGTCGTGCTGGTATGGCTAGTGGTGCTGGTTGCGCTTGTGCTGCTCACAGAAACGCTGCTGCTCTCGCTGGTACTGGTGCGAGTGGTGCTGGTCCTGGTCGTGCTGGTCAGCGTCGTGGTGCTGGTCTCGCTGATGCTGCTGCGCGTGACGCTACTTGTCCCGCTCGGGCTGGTCAAAGTGGTGCTGCTGCTTTCACTGGTGCTGCTGCCTGTCGTGCTGGAGCTGGTGAGAGTGGTGGTGCTGCTTTGGCTGGTACTTGTGCGTGTGGTGCTGCTGCTCCCAGTCGTGCTGGTCAGACTCGTGGTGCTGGTCTGGCTTATGCTGCTGCGCGTGGTGCTGCTGGTCCCAGTCGTGCTGGTATGGCTAATGGTGCTGGTTGCACTTGTGCTGCTCATCGACGTGCTTGTCACACTGGTGCTGCTGCTCTCGCTGGTGCTGGTCTGGCTAAAACTGGTCAGCGTAGTGCTGCTGGTCCCGGTCGTGCTGGTATGGCTAGTGGTGCTGGTTGCACTGAAGCTGCTCGCTGACGTGCTAGTCACACTTGTGCTGCTGCTCTCGCTGGTACTGGTGCGTGAGATGCTGGTCCCAGTTGTGCTGGTCAGCGTCGTGGAGCTGGTTTCGCTAATGCTGGTCAGTGTAGTGCTGCTGGTCCCGCTCGTGCTGGTCACACTGGTGCTGCTGCTTTCGCTAGTGCTGCTGCCTGTCGTGCTAGAGCTGGTGAGAGTGGTGCTGCTGGTCCCGCTGCTACTTGTGTGCGTGGTGCTGCTCGTGCCGGTCGAGCTGGTTTGGCTAGTGGTGCTGGTTGCGCTTGTGCTGCTCACCGACGTGCTTGTCACACTGGTGCTGCTGGTCCCAGTCGTGCTGGTGCGAGTGGCGCTACTCTCTGACGTGCTGGTCAACGTAGTGCTACTAGTCTCGCTGATGCTGCTGCGCGTGGTGCTGCTGGTCCCGCTCGTGCTGGTATGGCTAGTGGTGCTTGTCGCACTTGTGCTGCTCATCGACGTGCTGGTCACGCTGGCGCTGCTGCTCTCGCTGGTGCTGGTGCGACTGGTGCTGGTCACAGTCGTGCTGGTCAACGTCGTGGTGCTGGTCTGGCTAAAACTGGTCAGCGTAGTGCTGCTGGTCCCGGTCGTGCTGGTATGGCTAGTGGTGCTGGTTGCACTGAAGCTGCTCGCTGACGTGCTAGTCACACTTGTGCTGCTGCTCTCGCTGGTACTGGTGCGTGAGATGCTGGTCCCAGTTGTGCTGGTCAGCGTCGTGGAGCTGGTTTCGCTAATGCTGGTCAGTGTAGTGCTGCTGGTCCCGCTCGTGCTGGTCACACTGGTGCTGCTGCTTTCGCTAGTGCTGCTGCCTGTCGTGCTAGAGCTGGTGAGAGTGGTGCTGCTGGTCCCGCTGCTACTTGTGTGCGTGGTGCTGCTCGTGCCGGTCGAGCTGGTTTGGCTAGTGGTGCTGGTTGCACTTGTGCTGCTCACCGACGTGCTAGTCACACTGGTGCTGCTGCTCTCGCTGGTGCTGGTGCGAGTGGTGCTGCTCCCAGTCGTGCTGGTCAAAGTCGTGGTGCTGGTCTCGCTAGTGCTGGTCACAGAAGTGCTGCTGCTCTCGCTGGTGCTGGTGCGAGTGACGCTGCTCATCGACGTGCTGGTCAGCGTCGTGGTGCTGGTCTCGCTGATGCTGCTGCGCGTGACGCTGCTGGTCCCGCTCGTGCTGGTCACACTGGTGCTGCTGCTTTCACTGGTGCTGCTGCCTGTCGTGCTGGAGCTGGTGAGAGTGGTTGTGCTGCTTTGGCTGGTACTTGTGCGTGTGGTGCTGCTGCTCCCAGTCGTGCTGGTCAGACTCGTGGTGCTGGTCTGGCTTATGCTGCTGCGCGTGGTGCTGCTGGTCCCGGTCGTGCTGGTATGGCTAGTGGTGCTGGTTGCGCTTGTGCTGCTCACAGAAACGCTGCTGCTCTCGCTGGTACTGGTGCGAGTGGTGCTGGTCCCGGTCGTGCTGGTCAGTGTCGTGGCGCTGGTTTCGCTAATGCTGGTCAATGTAGTGCTGCTGGTCCCGCTCGCGCTGGTCACACTGGTGCTGCTGCTTTCGCTAGTGCTGCTGCCTGTTTTGCTAGAGCTGGTGAGAGTGGTGCTGCTGGTCCCGCTGCTACTTGTGTGCGTTGTGCTGCTCGTGCCGGTCGAGCTGGTTTGGCTAGTTGTGCTGGTTGCACTTGTGCTGCTCACCGACGTGCTAGTCACACTGGTGCTGCTGCTCTCGCTGGTGCTGGTGCGAGTGGTGCTGCTCCCAGTCGTGCTGGTCAAAGTCGTGCTGCTAGTCTCGCTAATGCTGGTCACAGAAGTGCTGCTGCTCTCGCTGGTGCTGGTGCGAGTGACGCTGCTCACCGACGTGCTGGTCAAAGTGGTGCTGCTGCTTTCACTGGTGCTGCTGCCTGTCGTGCTGGAGCTGGTGAGAGTGGTGGTGCTGCTTTGGCTGGTACTTGTGCGTGTGGTGCTGCTGCTCCCAGTCGTGCTGGTCAGACTCGTGGTGCTGGTCTGGCTTATGCTGCTGCGCGTGGTGCTGCTGGTCCCAGTCGTGCTGGTATGGCTAGTGGTGCTGGTTGCGCTTGTGCTGTGCACAGAAGTGCTGCTGCTCTCGCTGGTGCTGGTGCGAGTGACGCTGCTCCCGGTCGTGCTGGTCAGTGTCGTGGTGCTGGTTTCGCTAATGCTGGTCAGCGTACTGCTGCTGGTCCCAGTCGTGCTTGTCACACTGGTGCTGCTGCTTTCACTGGTGCTGCTGCCTGTCGTGCTGAAGCTGGTGAGAGTGTTGGTGCTGCTTTGGCTGGTACTTGTGCGTGTGGTGCTGCTGCTCCCAGTCGAGCTGGTCAGACTCGTGGTGCTGGTCTGGCTTATGCTGCTGCGCGTGGTGCTGCTGGTCCCAGTCGTGCTGGTATGGCTAGTGGTGCTGGTTGCGCTTGTGCTGTGCACAGAAGTGCTGCTGCTCTCGCTGGTGCTGGTGCGAGTGGTGCTGGTCCCAGTCGTGCTGGTCAAAGTCGTGGTGCTGGTCTCGCTAATGCTGGTCACAGAAGTGCTGCTGCTCTCGCTGGTGCTGGTGCGAGTGACGCTGCTCACCGACGTGCTGGTCAGCGTCGTGGTGCTGGTCTCGCTGATGCTGCTGCGCGTGACGCTGCTGGTCCCGCTCGGGCTGGTCAAAGTGGTGCTGCTGCTTTCACTGGTGCTGCTGCCTGTCGTGCTGGAGCTGGTGAGAGTGGTGGTGCTGCTTTGGCTGGTACTTGTGCGTGTGGTGCTGCTGCTCCCAGTCGTGCTGGTCAGACTCGTGGTGCTGGTCTGGCTTATGCTGCTGCGCGTGGTGCTGCTGGTCCCGGTCGTGCTGGTATGGCTAGTGGTGCTGGTTGCGCTTGTGCTGTGCACAGAAGTGCTGCTGCTCTCGCTGGTGCTGGTGCGAGTGGTGCTGGTCCCAGTCGTGCTGGTCAGTGTCGTTGTGCTGGTCTCGCTAATGCTGGTCACAGAAGTGCTGCTGCTCTCGCTGGTGCTGGTGCGAGTGACGCTGCTCACCGACGTGCTGGTCAGCGTCGTGGTGCTGGTCTCGCTGATGCTGCTGCGCGTGACGCTGCTGGTCCCGGTCGTGCTGGTATGGCTAGTGGTGCTGGTTGTGCTTGTGCTGCTCACAGAAACGCTGCTGCTCTCGCTGGTGCTGGTGCGAGTGGTGCTGGTCCTGGTCGTGCTGGTCAGTGTCGTGGCGCTGGTTTCGCTAATGCTGGTCAATGCAGTGCTGCTGATCCCGCTCGTGCTGGTCACACTGGTGCTTCTGCTTGCGCTAGTGCTGCTGCCTGTCGTGCTAGAGCTGGTGAGAGTGGTGCTGCTGGTCCCGCTGCTACTTGTGTGCGTTGTGCTGCTCGTGCCGGTCGAGCTGGTTTGGCTAGTTGTGCTGGTTGCACTTGTGCTGCTCACCGACGTGCTAGTCACACTGGTGCTGCTGCTCTCGCTGGTGCTGGTGCGAGTGGTGCTGGTCCCAGTCGTGCTGGTCAAAGTCGTGGTGCTGGTCTCGCCAATGCTGGTCACAGAAGTGCTGCTGCTCTCGCTAGTGCTGGTGCGAGTGACGCTGCTCACCGACGTGCTGGTCAGCGTCGTGGTGCTGGTCTCGCTGATGCTGCTGCGCGTGACGCTGCTGGTCCCGCTCGGGCTGGTCAAAGTGGTGCTGCTGCTTTCACTGGTGCTGCTGCCTGTCGTGCTGGAGCTGGTGAGAGTGGTGGTGCTGCTTTGGCTGGTACTTGTGCGTGTGGTGCTGCTGCTCCCAGTCGTGCTGGTCAGACTCGTGGTGCTGGTCTGGCTTATGCTGCTGCGCGTGGTGCTGCTGGTCCCAGTCGTGCTGGTATGGCTAGTGGTGCTGGTTGCGCTTGTGCTGCTCACAGAAGTGCTGCTGCTCTCGCTGGTGCTGGTGCGAGTGGTGCTGGTCCCAGTCGTGCTGGTCAGTGTCGTGGTGCTGGTCTCGCTGATGCTTGTCGGCGTAGTGCTGCTGGTCCCGCTCGGGCTGGTCAAAGTGGTGCTGCTGCTCTCACTGGTGCTGCTGCCTGTCGTGCTAGAGCTGGTGAGAGTGGTGCTGCTGGTCCCGCTGCTACTTGTGTGCGTGGTGCTGCTCGTGCCGGTCGAGCTGGTTTGGCTAGTTGTGCTGGTTGCACTTGTGCTGCTCACCGACGTGCTAGTCACACTGGTGCTGCTGCTCTCGCTGGTGCTGGTGCGAGTGGTGCTGCTCCCAGTCGTGCTGGTCAAAGTCGTGGTGCTGGTCTCGCTAACGCGGGTCACAGAAGTGCTGCTGCTCTCGCTGGTGCTGGTACGAGTGACGCTGCTCACCGACGTGCTGGTCAGCGTCGTGGTGCTGGTCTCGCTGATGCTGCTGCGCGTGACGCTGCTGGTCCCGCTCGGGCTGGTCAAAGTGGTGCTGCTGCTCTCACTGGTGCTGCTGCCTGTCGTGCTGGAGCTGGTGAGAGTGGTGGTGCTGCTTTGGCTGGTATTTGTGCGTGTGGTGCTGCTGCTCCCAGTCGTGCTGGTCAGACTCGTGGTGCTGGTATGGCTTATGCTGCTGCGCGTAGTGCTGCTGGTCCCAGTCGTGCTGGTTTGGCTCATGGTACTGGTTTCGCTTGTGCTGCTCACAGAAGTGCTGCTGCTCTCGCTGGTGCTGGTGCGAGTGGTGCTGGTTCCGGTCGTGCTGGTCAGCGTCGTGGTGCTGGTTTCGCTGATGCTGGTCAGCGTAGTGCTGCTTGTCGTGCTGGTGCGAGTGGCGCTACTCTCTGACGTGCTGGTCAACGTAGTGCTACTGGTCTTGCTGATGCTGCTGCGCGTGGTGCTGCTGGTCCCAGTCGTGCTGGTATGGCTAGTGGTGCTGGTTGCACTGAAGCTGCTCGCTGACGTGCTAGTCACACTTGTGCTGCTGCTCTCGCTGGTACTGGTGCGTGAGATGCTGGTCCCAGTTGTGCTGGTCAGCGTCGTGGAGCTGGTTTCGCTAATGCTGGTCAGCGTAGTGCTGCTGGTCCCGCTCGGGCTGGTCACACTGGTGCTGCTGCTTTCGCTAGTGCTGCTGCCTGTCGTGCTAGAGCTGGTGAGAGTGGTGCTGCTGGTCCCGCTGCTACTTGTGTGCGTGGTGCTGCTCGTGCCGGTCGTGCTGGTTTGGCTAGTTGTGCTGGTTGCACTTGTGCTGCTCACCGACGTGCTAGTCACACTGGTGCTGCTGCTCTCGCTGGTGCTGGTGCGACTGGTGCTGCTCGCTGACGTGCTGGTCAGCGTCGTGGTGCTGGTCTCGCTAATGCTGGTCACAGAAGCGCTGCTGCTCTCGCTGGTGCTGGTGCGAGTGACGCTGCTAACCGACGTGCTGGTCAGCGTCGTGGTGCTGGTCTCGCTGATGCTGCTGCGCGTGGCGCTGCTGGTCCCGCTCGGGCTGGTCAAAGTGGTGCTGCTGCTTTCACTGGTGCTGCTGCCTGTCGTGCTGGAGCTGGTGAGAGTGGTTGTGCTGCTTTGGCTGGTACTTGTGCGTGTGGTGCTGCTGCTCCCAGTCGAGCTGGTCAGACTCGTGGTGCTGGTCTGGCTTATGCTGCTGCGCGTGGTGCTGCTGGTCCCGCTCGTGCTGGTATGGCTAGTGGTGCTTGTTGCACTTGTGCTGCTTGCCGACGTGCTGGTCACGCTGGCGCTGCTGCTCTCGCTGGTGCTGGTGCGACTGGTGCTGGTCACAGTCGTGCTGGTCAACGTCGTGGTGCTGGTCTGGCTAAAGCTGGTCAGCGTGGTGCTGCTGGTTACAGTCGTGCTGGTATGGCTAATGGTACTGGTTGCACTTGTGCTGCTCACCGATGTCCTAGTCACACTGGTACTGCTGCTCTCGCTGGTGCTGGTGCGACTGGTGCTGCTCGCTGACGTGCTGGTCAGCGTCGTGGTGCTGGTCCTGCTAATGCTGGTCAGCGTGATGCTGCTGGTCCCGCTCATGCTTGTCAAAGTGGTGCTGCTGCTATCGCTAGTGCTGCTGCCTGTCGTGCCAGAGCTGGTGAGAGTGGTGCTGCTGCTCTCGCTGCTACTTGTTCGCGTGGTGCTGCTGGTTCCCGTCGTGCTGGTCAGCGTCGTGGTGCTGGTTGCACTGACGCTGCTCACCGACGTGCTGG